GCAAAGGGCGGCTACGACTCGCTAGTACTTCCTCAGTCGTACAAGGTGTACCCGAAGCAGGCCGAGCGGGGTGCGCCGCAAGTCAGCCCACACCCCAGACGTGCACCCCTGAGCACAGAGTCGGCCATGCACCTCGGCCCGGACGGCCGACCAGTGCGATCGAGGCGCACCCTGGATCCTCAGGCGCGCCACGCTCGGAGATCGTCGCCGTGCACCGCGAATGCATGGTTCGCAGCTCTCCATTGCCTCACGCCTGCCCGCCGGCCGAAGGGCAATGGTCGGGCCCGCCAGGCCACTTCTACGGCGGTGAGCCGGCGCCGGTGTTGCGTACCGGATGGAACGCGGACATCCCTTGCAACTGCTCTGAGAGCTGGTTTCTCAACTGCGGGCATGTACCGCCTTATGCAAAGTGGTACAGCCCTTCAGCGCCGCCGGCGCCCTCGCCCCTCGCCCCACGTCCCGGCAGCTAGAGCGCCCTCGAGTGTGTGTCGGACATGAGTCTTGTGGGTGAGCGTGCTCCAAACAAAGGAAGGAATGAACACGGTCAAACTCTGTTGCGCCGGCTCCAGGTGTGTACTTTTTTTGCTTGGGTGGGCCTCATCATGCAATTCTGCAAAAACCTGACCGGCCCCTGCGGTGCCCCTTCCTACCTACCTTACCTACCTCTACCTACCTACCTACCTACCTACCTACCTGCCTACCTACCTGCCCTACTTATGGGAAACAAAAAAGAAATCATCGGACGGGTGAAGGTGGGGCTACTATACCAACTAAAGTGATGGGTGGTGGTACTCTCCTGCAACCACAGTCCTTCCTGTGACATGGCAGGCCACTCTCAGACCCTACAAGCATCTTCTAAAAACCTAAGTCAGATCACCCATTTGGGGACGTTTGACATCGTGATTGCCGAAAAATTTCTTTTTCTGCTGTGAAAATTCCAGCGTGAAGAGAGGGAAAACCCCGACGGGAGGGCCGAGACCTACCCTACCTACCCCGTGATCAGGCCCACCCAAGCAAAAAATGTGCCCACTGAGGCGATAAATCCATCGCGCAAACACACGTCACCACCTTACACCTGCATGCTGCTAGCGGCGCTGCTGACCGCTGCTGCGCCCGCCCCGCCCGATGCCGACCGCGAGGTCCGGATGAAGACCACACGACAGCTCAAGGCCGTGTTGACAGCTGTTGACGTCCCGTTCTCCGAGTCCGCAAGCAAGAGCGATCTCAGGGCGCTCGCGTTGAAGCACAATGCACTGGCCAAGTACGAGGCCCTCCACCCCGAGAAGAAAAAGTCCAAGCCCGCGCGCCCTAGTGGCGCCTCGTCAGAGTCAGCTGAGCAGGCTGCGCAGTTCTTCTTTCTGATGGACGCCGACGGCAATGGGAGGGTGAGCGAACGCGAGATGCGGGATTCTGGGGTGTTCGGGCCCGACGCGTCAGCTGAAACCATCGAGCAGGGCTTCGCGAGCATGGATGCGGACGGCAGCGGCTCCGTTTCTCAGTTGGAGCTAGCCCGCTTCCTGGAGCTGATGAGCCAGCAGAGAGACGCGTATGACTACGGGTCGGCGTATGACTACGGGGCGCCTGTCGACCTGAGCCACTCGCGCAACGTGGAGGGCCCGGACACGATCGACTACGCCCTCGACGACGACGACTACTCGGAGTTAGTGGACGGGTTAGGGCCGTCCGATGAGTTGTAGATGAGTGCATATGCGCGAGGGCGCGCTGAGCTGTGCCAAGCCCAAGGCGCCAGGTCTGAGCTGAAGCTGAGGTGACACACGAAGGGAGGCGGGATGTCAACTTGAGGGGCTGTCACTCGCCTCTCTCTCTCTCTCTCTCTCTCTCTCTCTCTCTCTCTCTCTCTCTCTCTGTGTGGGTGTGAGCTGGGTAGCTGTGCCCGCTGCTTGTGTGGGTACGTATGTGTCTCGTCAGGGGCCCCTCCCCCGCCTACCTCTTCGTCTTTTGCTATTGACCTCCCGTCACAGCGGGTTCTCCTCAGTAATAACTATCCC